AGTAACTTTATGAGGCAGAAAATTAGAGAACTCACTTCCAGCCTTGTCTATGCTTTACCAGAGTCAGGATCCATGCCACTATTCTCTGCAAAGCCAAGAAGCAAATAAGCTATCGACTGAATATAAGAGAAAAGAGACTCTGGTAGTAAAGAATCACTGAGAAAGTTTGAATGCCTGGTCTGGAGAATGAAACTAAAATTGCTTTTTCCATAAGTGTCACTTTTCTACCTTTGTGCTCTTGTACAGTGGTGCAGGAAAGTGCATCCAATCGTTTTTAAAACAAGGGCAGTGTTACAACCATAGGCAAGGGCATTGTTCTAGAACAGAGAAATGTATGAAGAGAAGCATGCAATGGGAAAGAATTTCTTACAACCGATTAATTTCTCCTGGTGAATCGTTCCCTACTAAAGCTGCTAAATGAAAGAACTTTTGGATTCTCACTCAGAAATTAAGAGAACACTTTCATTTTGCATAGCCAGACTATTAATTCACAAATTATTTAATGTAATATTAATTTATACTGACAACGAACTATAAGCCTCAATTAAAATATCCTGAAAAACTCATTTCCCATCAACCTATCTCATAATGAATGTGTCATATCTTATTTAGGAAAAATAAATGAACGTCAGTACAAAAGGTAATTGCTTTCTCTAAGCATCAGAATTCAGCTGAGGTAGTAATAATCAAAGTATAGTCTTGAGGATTACAGAAACCCAAGGCTCATCCAGGTGGGCACCAAAGAAGTTTCTTGTAGTCACTTGATAAATATTTGTGTTTCTGGCATCATAATAAAGTCTGTATTCTTGTTTCCGGCATGAATTCTTTGTGACAAATCCCATTTTGACCCTCTCTTGTTTCTGACCCGATAGCTGAAGGAAAAGATAGAATGGGGACAGGATTTAAACTAAACTGAACAAGTCCACGAACTGAAAAAGGTAAGTCACTGACCTAGAGATGTTTTAGAGGAAACACGTGGCACCTCCAGAGGCAGTGTGGTGGTTCAGAACATAATGTTTGTCTTCAGAGGCCTGGGTTTGTATTCTAGCTCTTTCTTAAAGGACTATGGCTTTCCTTGTTGAGGATTTGCATTAGTTAGGGTGGTGCTAGCTGTTGTAACAAAGAGATTCAATGCAGTATAATGGCTCAAACATAATCATAGGTTGTTTCTCACTCCTGTAACTGTCTGAGCAAATCTTGCTGGACAGCAGGCCACTCTCCTCCTGCAGTGGACTTAGGGACCCAGACTTCTTCCATATCGTGGCTCTGTTATTCTCTAGGTTCTTGTGATTGCAGCTGATATAAGAAGAGAAAGCATGGAGAAAGCAAACTACTTTTTCAAAGGCTTGGCTAAAATCAAGACATAGCACACCCACTCACGTTCTATTGATGAAAATCAGACATGGGTCACATCTAAATGCAAGGGGGTGGTGGGTGAGAAATGTAGTACCTGTTTAGCCACAGGGACAACTCTATAAGCAGGTTGCAAAGCATTGTGTTTTATGTGATCCCATCTTTGTATAAACAAATCGAAATGTAGTTCCTGTTTAGCCACAGGGACAACTCTATAAGTGGGAGGCATGACTTTTAGCAGATGGCTAGTTATATCTGCCATTGGGCTGTTTAGTCATTGACAGCAGAGATAATAATATTCTGTGGAAGGAAAGTCTCTGGATTGTAGATCAAAACTTCAGAGAGGTGAGGGACTTAAGGAAGAGTCAACCAGTCATGGAGAATCAAACTTGAGAACAATGAGACCAAGTCTGACTGAAAGTCAGGCTGAGAGGCTCGTCCCTCAGCAGAGAGTGGGAGTGTAAAGAGTGCCACCAGTCAATGAAAGTGTCAAAAGGGCAGGTCCCAATGACCATAGAGTTTTTCTTCAGGAGAAGACTCTCTGGTTCGTTCTGTACTGAAGGCTACAGTTACAAAGATGGCTGAGGTTTGCCTCACCCCTCAAACAGGAAATAGAGAAAAAAAAAATCTGTATTCAGGAAGCAGATGACAATCCTTGGAGGCTCTCTCTCTTTGTGTAAGTGACACGGAGAGGGTTGGGGGCAGGGGGAGAGAGAGAGAGAGAAAGTTATGTCAAGGAAGTGACACCCATACTCTTTAAAGATAAAAATGAATTTGCGTTTGTCAGACAGTAGGAGTTGGTCCAATTTTGTTGCACAGAATCAAACTTCTCTGCAATGGCTTCACCTGTTCTTCCACATTTTAATTCGCTCTCTGTACTCTCAAGTATCTAAACATAATACCAAGTAATGATTAAAGAAAAAATGAAGTTATCACAGAATAAAAGCACAAGTAGGTATAAGTACAAGCATACTTACTGCATTACTATTTTTAGTTGCAGAAATAGGAAAAGATCCTTAATGTCCATCATTTATTAAAGGGAATGGCTGAATAAAGTATGTTCCATCATACTGGGGTGACTATACAGCTGTTAGGAAGAATGACTTAGATTTGTAACGTACTGTCTACAAGGATGTCCATGGCTAAAGCAGGTTGCGAAGCATTGTGTTTTATGTGATCCCACCTTGGTATAAACAAATCAAAACGCAAATCCTATATATGTGTGTAAGAATACATTCCTAGTTTTAACATTGATATTTGAAGGAGGAGGGGACTTGAAGGTGGAAGTTATTAACTTTTCCCTTAAGCATGCTTTGTAAACTAATGATTAATAAACAAGGAAAAACCCACAAGGGTGTGTTAAATCTCAGACACTGGTAAAACACAGAATGACTCCTCCACATGAATCCTGGTCATTTACTTCTCCTTTCAACAATTATTTATTGAGGAGCTACTGGGTGCCAGGTACTTTCGTGGAGATTATTTTATTTAGTTGTTAGAATAATCCCGAGAGCTTATATACAGGTGAGAAGATAACATATAGCTTTATTAACTTGCTCAAGGTCAAATCATTAGGAAGATGATGGTGTCAGCTTTTGTGCCCAGTTCTTTCTGGCCCCAGAGCCCGGGTGCTCTTGATTGCACTTCGCTCTCTTAAAACTGGGAAGGCAGGTGGCCTTATTTTTTAGGTCAGTTAATCTAGCATTCTAACTAAGCCTAGTGAAGGGCCCTACTTTTAAGTATGGAGGGGTGATCTAGAGCACATGAGAATCCTGTTGTGATTAATCCCAGTCCTTGCCGAAAAATCTAAGCAAGAGGACGGGAAAGACCCAATCTTGAAAGATGGGTGAGTCACGTGGTGACATCTCTGCCAGGGCCAGAGAAGTGTGAAAGGGACATTGGACGCCAAGTGGAATCTTCTTTAAGGATCTCTAGATGGTGAGAACTACTCTACCTTTAGTTTGCTTTGACCCTGGAGGTGTTTCCAGGGGTCTTTGTGATGTAATCTCACTGGTCTTCCATCTCTTTTTAGTTATAATTATGGACTTCAAACAACTGAAGAGTTTAGAGGTCCTGGGTTTCTTCAGACCACATTTCTAGCCAGAAAGATTGCATTGCTTAAGACAAAGAGAAAATTCATTTCTAAATTTTTATTGAAATTGGCAATTCTGGCAAAGACTTAAAAAATTAAGACTATCTTTCTTGGTGGGCTGTTTTGGCGTCATCACTCCAGGTTGTGGATGTCTCTGGAGGTTTAGGTCACACTGCTGCTCTTACTGGGCACAGGCATTTTTTTATAGCATTCTTTCTAAGTTAGCTCTCCCCACAAGTTCCAAATTAATAGGAATACATTTCAATTAGAAAAATACTAGATACTAAGAAAATAGTTAAAGAAAAGCTAAAAAGGAAGAAAGTCTCAGGTAGTTGTTCTCAACATTAGTATTACCTAGTGGCCTTTAAAAAAACCCCGACGTCTAGGGCACACCCTGGGCCAATTAAATCACTATCTGTGGGGGCGGGACCCAGGCCCCAATGGTTGCTAAGTTCCCCAGGTGGTTCCACTATGCTGCTAAAGATGAGAACCACTGCTCGCTGACCAACATTCTTACCCAGCTGAAGAAGCACAGGACCAACAGCTGTGCCTGGATCCCTGGGACTGGGATCAACCCTGGAGATGACAGCTGGTACAGGACTTCACGGCTGTTAGAGACTGCCAGGCAGAGAGGACTTGAGGCCCCATCCTTTAGTGTAGTGGGGCGTGCACAACCTGCCACACATCCTCACACACACACACACTCTCTCATTTAGCCAACTCACAAAAGCGGAAATACACTTATGGGCTGCTTTATTTTTCTAAATAAAAATAACTTGATTGAGTCCCCTAAAAATGATTAGTGTTAACAATTTAAGATTATAGAAGACTATGAAAATGGGCCACTCTTACTTAAAATATCTAGCTGGGTATTTTCAAGAAAGGAAAATGCAGACAGTTGTCTAAACGTCTATATTCAGATTACATCATGGACCTTAGAGTGAAACCTGGTAGTCTGTGGGTGGTTCTGGAATGTTGATTGCTCATCTCTGTCTTAGTTTGTGGTTCCCTAATACCTGCCTCAACATTAGCTACTTAAATTGATTTTCTGAAGCTCTCTGCTTATTGGGGAATAACTTGGAATCTACTTCTTTAGACTTGGCATTTTTTCTTCATGAGACTAATGAAAGTGGTTAAAACTGGAAAAATGGCAAGAGCTGGTCTTGAGCAAAGTGTAAATGTAAGCTTAGTGTGTTCATGTGGCAAACTGGTAGCTGCAGTTTTGACGTAGTAATAGGCTCTGATAAGACCAGCAGCATTTCAATGGTATAGCGCTCAAATTCCAGATTGATAACTTCGAATAATAACAGAAGTGCTATTTCTGCTATGTTGATGTCGTCTTCTTTGGATCACTCACACACACGCCCTCACTCAGACACACACACTCACACATGGGTCCCCAACTTTCTGCAATTTGCTGTACTGCTTGTCCTCATCCTCGGGAGCTCTGTACTTTTTCACTAATAAAAGCTTCCCGGTGAAGAATTTAGTTGGGGAAGAGAGAAAAAGAAATATGGCGAGTGTACGGCTTGCTAGTGAGCAAAAAGACATATCATATGAAACAAAGTTTTGATTTTTATTTTACATATTTATACATAAAACTTTCAAGGAACCCTCTGAATCCAACAGAATGTTAATAGCACATCTAAAGATGAACTTCAGGTAGTCAACATTCACAAAATGTTGAAAACTGATTAAAATATACATATTACGGAGAGCTACAACTTCACTACGAGGCAGGCATGTATTTTTTGACTTGTATAGCACCGTCATTTACAGTTCTTCGTTAAAACTACAGTGAAGAATGAAAGTAGTCAATGGTAAAATACTGCTCCAACTTAAAATCTCTAAACAAATAAAAATAAAGTTGAAACTACCCTCTTTTATTAACCATGATTTGTGGTGGTGTAAGTACTGTACATTTTTTTGTAACAATATTTTATTAAAATGCCTGATATTTAGTGGTACAGTAAAAAAATTAAAATAAATTAAGAAGCAAAGGCCAATCACTGGACGTTAAGCTTCAAACATTACCAATGACTAACACTGATGTGTGTTTCTGCGCCACCTTTAACAACAGCATTTTTACAACCACAGAAGCAAAATAAAGTCTAGCTTGTCCTCTGGTTGGATGGCTTCTTTTCACTTTGCAGGCATTTTTTCTGCCATGTGCTTCTGCTGGCTTTCAGCATGTCTGTAAAATTAGTAATACAATTGTTTAGTGCTAAGAAGAAAGATTCAAGCTGCTTTCCAATCAACAGCTAAAACATCCTCCAAACTGAGGTTCAGAGCTACTCAGAGTGAAATCAAGAGAAACAAGAAACAGTTCTTAATTCCAAGAGATTTGCCCTCTTCGATTTTTATATTCTATATGTGATTCCTTTTATTTAATAAGCCACTGGATTCACCTGGGATTGGCAGATGTCACTTCCTTTGAGAAGAAAAGTGCTTTGTTTAAAAATGAAAAGCGATGTCTCTCGGATTATTTATCCCACAAAAGTTTACTATGTGCCTTCTACGTGGCAGGCACTGCTCTGGTGCGAGGGGTTTGGGGTAAACAGACAATAAGCTCTTTGTTCTCACAGAGCATATATTCCAAAGGAGAGAGAAATAAGGAACAAATAGCAAACAAATAGTGAGCAGATAGAAAATAAGTGCCAAGCAAAAAGTCAAAACAAGGTGGTGGGACAAAGCAACCTTTTGACTGCTTCATCTAAACACACCGCACACACACAGACACAAATCTAAGTATTAACAAGGCTTCCGACAACTCTGAAACCAGTTCCATTCTTACAAAAGCTCATGTCTTCCTAACAAATGGTAGGCCTTTGTGAATGTAAAGATTTTCCATGTTTTCATACTCTTCCCCACTCTCAATCAGTCCCAAGGGCATGATTGTGGCAGTGAGGGTAGGCGTAGGGCGAGGTGAGTCTTATTCATCAAGCCCTGTTATGGCCTGTGAGCCCAAAAGGCTGGCCAACCTGGCACCTGGCTGGTGGAGACAGAGCGGGAGGAATTGGCCAAGCTGCTTACATTACTTGAGTTAAATGTCTTCTCAGGGAATGGTAGGGTCTGAAGGCTGCAAAAGACAAATGTTTTGAAGGAGGACTTTAGGAAATTATAAATTTGTCAAGAGAAAAGTAACTCAGGATATGGTTTCTGGCTGTAAGCAAAGGATCGGGGCAGTTTTCGTGTGCTGCCCTGATTTGGGTAGTCAGTGACGTCAAGCTTAACTCATTGGTTTTATGCACAATGTCTCACATCTGTGGAACAGGGAAGACAAACCACAAATATTTTCAGAAATAGGGAAGTGACAACAGTGTCCTTGCCACATTCGGCAGCCCACAAATAATTGATGATATTCATTTAACAATAAAAGAACTCAAGAAAGAGTTATCATCAGCTCTTCTATTCCTAAAAAAAAAATTATGCCCTTTAGCAGACCACCTGTTTATGTGTATAAAAGAACCTTGATCATATTCACAAAGTAGCTCATGGGCCTCATTTAAAGGCATTCAGCTCAAGAAATATTTTGATGCCCAGTGAGCTGAGATTCCACCGTAGCTAATTAAATTATAGTTCTTACAGCAGTTTTAAAATACGTATCTGTGTGTGCATGTGTGTGTGCACAAATGCTTGTCTACACACAGCAAGGGTTTTCTCTGAGAAAGAAGGAAAAAACAGATCGGAAACAGCTTTGTAAAATACTGAAAGCTGGGTGTTATTTTAAGACACACATACAAGGGTGAATTTTACTAAAATTTTAAACAAAGGAGGGTAAAGAGTTTCCGTCCATAAAACTAAAAGATTTTCACATCGACTATTTATACCAAAGTCCTTATTAGGATTTGTTTTACTCAAGCCCCACAGGGACACCTTTTTATGAACAATCATTTTTGAAGACCTACTATGTACCTGGCAGGCCCTGTCTTAGGCTCTGGGGACACGCCAATGAAATGAAAATGGTGTCCTCTCTGCTTTCAGGGGGGATACAGTCAGGTAGAAACAGACGGCAGACAAACAAATATAATGCAGTATGATTTGGCTCCACATGTGAGGAATGCCATGTTGCCAGGAACAAAGGAAGAGGGTCCTACCCCAATCTCGGGGTCTTCGCCAAAGAGGTGTCATCCAAACCACCCGTCCTCATTTGGCTGCACACTGAAACCATGTGGGGAGCTTTAAAAACTCCGAATGCCCAGGCCACTCCACAGAATGTCTCGGGGTGAGATCCAGGCATCGATAGTTTATAACGCTCCCCAGGTGGTTCTAACGTGCAGCCAAGTCTGAGAACCTGATCTGAACTGCCTCCCTGGAATGGTAGGACTTGGACAGGTAAAGAGCAGAGGTGAACAGGACTTCAGCAGTTCCTACAACCATGCTCTCAGCCCTCTCGCATCTGCCTGCAAAGCTCTGGGACTACTACCCTTAGGGATATTTAAATATCCTCAGTTTCTCCCATGAGCAAAGTAATATTCTGCAGCCGGGACTGGACACAGAAACTTCTCTCCACCTGTTCCAATTGAAAGGGTTCCTCCAACACCTTTAAATTAGTGACTCCTCTCCTTTTAACTCCATGCTTCTGCCTGCCCTGCTTCCCAAGATCACACCATCTGAAAGGTATAAAAACAAATACACTATACACCTAAGTAATAGCTTAATCCTTTGAGAGATGGGAGGAGCCTCTCAATGTCCTCCCAACAACGAGGAATGCCAGTGCTGCCTGAGGGGTAGAGAAAAGGTCTCTGCTCTCAGGAAAGTCACAGAATTTACCAAAGAGTTTAAATATTATTCAGAAGATGCAGGTCCTGGTTGTACATTTCACTACCGATTTCCCATAATTTTAATACCTGTATACAAATTTCTTAGACTAACAAAAAGGGGTATGTCTTGTGGTTGTTGGTGCAGTGCCTGAATACATCTGTAGATGGCAACAGTATTATTCGAGTGTTACTGTGATATTTCAGGTATCGGCAAATATGCTAAGAAGATGCAAGAAAGCCTTCTGGTGTTTTGTTTTTCTTTTGTTTTTGATTTTTTTTGTTAGGGGGTGAGGCAATGTAATACTCAAAGCATACAAAACAGAGTGCTGCCTGAAGGTCTTTTAAAAAAAAAAAAAGCCTAAACATAGTTCTGTGGCATTTATTTTGCTACCAAAACTATTTTTATAACATTGCATTTAGAAAAATATTTTACCCAGTTTAAAAAATATATATATTTTACCACACTGAGAAGAGGTCCTGAGAGCATTTTCACTACATATGTTTTCAAGCTTCCCTTGGACGGTTCTGGATCATGTGGTTAACTCCTTATGTTATTGTAACAAGCTGTGTTTTCTTCCCTTGGGGAGCCTTCTACTCTCTGAATATCATTTCTAGGATTAATAGTAATTGTTGCCTCCTGGTTTAAAGAACTTCACACACACTGTCTCGGAAAAGGTGACACAGTAAATATGAGATAAAAGGAATGCTCACTGTACTTCGTATCGTTCATGTGCTTATGGTGACAGGCTTTTCTACAAGGAAAACTACCACGAAATGCAAGATCTTGAAGCATTAGCCCAGTTTCCTTAACCCCTAGGGAAGGAAACATTTTTTACCTTTTTACAGTGAGGCGCTTGGAGCCAGGCCCAGTTAGAAACTCAAGTCCTGGAGTTTCCCCCCCGTGAGTACAATCTGGTGGCACTAGCGCTGTGGAAACACGCCAGTGCCCCTGCCTTCTGGGCATGGCAGATGCGATCAAGAGTCAGGTCATATAACAGCAAGTGCCATTCTGTGGCACCCGCCACGTGGCTGTTCGTGAGCTGGAAACACGCCAGCACGCAACGGCTTAGGGCCAACTCCCCAGCATCCAGTCCATCAGGATAAAGTCCTCCTAGGCCAGAACTGCTGACCTGACTTGGGCAGGCTGTAAGAAGTTCTAATGCCCTGACAATCCATCACAAGGGAGGATGGCTGTGAGAAAGCAATGCGTTTGGAAAGCAGTTTTGGCCACGTCCCTTCCAATAAAATAAACAGCTGACGCCAGCAGAGATTAGGTGAGTTACTCATGGAAGTGAGGAAGGAAGTTCTCTAGAGCTCACTCTTGCCCTAATTCTTCAACTTCATAACATCCCGGGCTTCTCTCTTTCTTTGGAAAGGGCGAAACATCACTGACCTGGTCAAGTCTTCGATGTCCACAAGCATGGCGTCTTGTTCTGTGTGCAGCTCATCTCGGATGAGAAGCAGCTGGACCAACTCTTCATTCAAGCCTGGGGCAAAGGAAAGAGAGCATTTAAAAATAGATAAGATTGCATCCCAGTCAGAATGAGGAACTATTTATGGACCATTAAACATATACCATAGATAACTACATACACACATATACATTATATATATATATATGTATATATACACACACACACACACACACACACACACACACACACATACATATATACAAGTTTAACATAAGAGGACATTTTGTTAAAATTTAGAATTCTTACATTAGCTTCTCATAAGCTCAGGAGAAGCCATCAGTTGGAGAACATGACTAGTGTGCATCATTACAGGAGTGTTGAAAGAAAAGGAGTAAAGTACAAGTATTTCCAAATACATTCACATTAAAATGAGGAAAAAAAATGTTAACTATCAGGAAAATAGCCTGTTAGAATGACTGGGGTTTAGTTTCAAAGAAACGTGAACAAAAAAATCTCTAGAGTTTATTAAGCTCTCCACTGTTCATCTTCAGGGTGCTCCCCCGACCCCAAGGGTCAGTGGGGGGTGGGGGTGAGGTCGGCCCGCTGCACCTGACAGCGTTACAGCGGATGCTCAGCCGGCGAGGACAGTGCCCCAGGGATGCTCAAATGCTTTTCGTGGCCCACGGAAGGAGCAGCCCTATGAGCAGGCTGTTCTAGGAAAAAGTATTAGCTAAAGATATTGGAAAGCCAGATGTATAAGACCTGAAGAAATAACCCCTGAAGTCTCTGGACAACGGGTGCCAAGGAAACTATTCCTTAAGATTTCTACTGGGAATAAAATAGATAAAAACATTTTTAATCCTCTTGAAGTCAGGGGTTTGTGTCGATTTGGCTTCTGTGCCTCTCTCTTACTTTTCCCCCTCAGTTCAGCTAAGAATTAAAGCTTCTAGGTCTGGACACATGGACACAAGGGAGAGAGCATTAATTTAGCAAGAGCTCTGGGCCCGGAAACCAAAGAAAGGAAGTGGGTATTCACTGAGGTCCCCCTTGGAAATGTTTTTGGAGATCCCGACCTCACATGATGTATTTGTCTGCCTTTAGTTCAGACTAGTTTCCAACTTTAAAAAGGAAGAAAAAAAATCATACAAATAAGTCTAAAACTTCATCTACCCCTGAAAAGGACGAGATGGCAATTTTATCATTTAAAAGTCTAAGGAAGATGTTTCAGTGGTAAAATATCACTTGAAAGAATAACATTCCTAATAATTTATTCTCAACTAAAATTAAAATGTAGTAGAATTAAAAAAAAAATCCTGTGAATCTATGGTTTCTTAATTAAAATGTTAAACTCTCTTGACTGTAAAACAATACTAAATGTATTAACTTGACACTGTATATGTCCAATTTCTAGTTTTTCTAATGTGCTCTTGGGCTTGTTTTTAGGACTAGTACCTAGATCAGTGCCTGCACAGTGTATAGAAAGATTTTTTTATATGAAGTTTTTAACTTTTTATTATGGAAAATTTCAAACTGATACAAAAGCTAAGAGAATAGTTTAAGAATGCATTTAATTAGCTTCAATAATTATCAACTCATGGCCAGTCTCGATTCCTCTTATCTCCCCTTCTCCCCCTGGATTATTTTAAAGCAAATGCCAGACATCATATTATTTCATCTGTCAGTGCTTCAGTGTATATCTCTAAAGACAGGGCTCTTCAAAAAAATAACATAGCCACAACACCTTTATTGTACCTGAAGAAACAAATAAATCTTTAATAAAACATTCAGTCAGTGTTCAAGTTTCCCCACTTGGTTCCTAAATGTTTTTTATGGTTGGTTTGTTTGAATGCGTTTGGTTGGCAGGTCTCTTAGGTGGTTTTATCTGTAAGTCCACAGGATTTTATTGAATCATATGTTCCTGAGAACCTGTGAGTCCATCTGGCTGAACCACACGGCCCGAGTGAGCATGTTCTGTCTTGCATCGGGCCAAGCGACTCCCCTTCTCTTGTGCAACCAATCGGCTCGAGTATCACCGCTCACTCACTACCCCTCTGCACACTTCAGTTATTCTGGGGAAGATAGGCCCATATTTTGTCACTCTGTAATTTTCACAGATGGGTCATTTATACGTTCACCACACGGAATGCCACGAAATAAACTGAATTCGATTTGATGACCTAAACTGAATATATGTACAAGTGAAGTTGTGGGTATAATTGTATAATAAATGACTAGTAACTACTAACTTGTGTTCTAGAAACAGCTGTTGCAAGCCAAAGGCATGCCAGGCACTTGCTAGGAGCTGGTGATTTAAGATGAATAAAAAGGACCTATAATCTCTGCAAATCTTGAGAAATTCTTAAACGTTCTGAATATTTCAAAGTAATGTGAGAGAGAGAGACAGACAGACAGACAGACAGAGAGCGTGAAAGCGAGCACACGCCCTGTGATTCTCTTCCTTTCCTTGCAAGCACACAGTAGGAATCCAGTGAAATGTGTAAGAAGGAACCGAATCAAAGAAGTGTTACTATCCCATTACATTTTACATTTAATACTCTGTTTTCAAGCACATCTTACACTTACTTTCTATCTGGGAATGGAGATCATTGACTATCACTTGTAGCTGCCCAATAGTCATGTCTCTCAGGTCAGTGGGCTTTAAACTTCTTTTCATCAAGCATTCACTTATATGAGGCATGTGTGGCAGCTGAGGATACAAAGCGGGAAGAAATGGAGGTGTGAACAGAGCAACAAGTACACTGAACATAAGATCCAGTTTCCTCCTCAAAAACCCAACCTCGTTCACCCGCTTCACTTCAAGTTCTGGGCTTAAAAGCTTTCCCAGTCTAACTTTCCCAATGTGAGGCCCCACACACCACATTTTCTAAAACACCACTAGCAACAAAATGCTACACTACTCAAAAGTTTTCGGATTGGTTCTTAGCACATACTATGACAACCGTGAGTCAATTATCACATCCAGAGATGAATTACTGGGGAGCTCAAGTAATAGCAACGACACGGATACAATTAACAACATCAGCTACTAATTTATACCATGCTAGAAGCATTGTGCTATGTGCTTTGAATGTTTTGTTCACTCAATTCTCACAACTGTGCTCTGACATAGGTGTTGTTATTATTCTCGTTTCATTGAAGAGAAAACTGAAACTTGTATAATAAATGACTTGTAACTACTACATTGTATTCTAGAAAACAGATGTTGCAAGCCAAAGGCATGGAACTTTCTAGCAAGCACTTGCTAGGAACTGGTGATTTAAGATGAACCTGAAGACCACAGCAGGTCAGTGGCGGAATTAGACTTAAAATCCAAAGTGCAGGGCTCTTATCCACTGTGGTATATTGTGTTTGTTGAATGAGAGCTGTAGCCATAGTGAGTATGCCACTACTACTAGGTTCTTAAACTGAGATTGCTTTAAAGGAATTTAAATATCCTCATGACAGCTAATATCACCCCTAAAAAACATAGTAGATAGCAATCAAGAGAAAAGTTTACTTCTGTGTCATCTGTTGCTTATGTATCTTTCAGTGATACAGTAGAAAGGGAAAAGAAACAAACGTAAATATTTCTCAATGGCAGTACTTTTTACAAACTGCCTCGGAGAAACCCAAGTTTGCATAATTCTGGTAAAGGACAGGGACAGCGTCAACCATTTGCAGTCACCAAACACTCGCTTGCGCTTCAGCGTTTGCTGCTTACGAGATCAGCGACGGGAGACTTTTTTCTGTTCTGTTTTTCCACTTCTACTTGCATTTTGGCCATTGGTTTGGCCATGGCAAGGGCCATTTTGGCTTCAGCTTGTAATTTCTTTTGCCTTGTGAGAAAATCCATGTCATCTAGGGATTCGGATTCTTCTTCAGTAGTGTCTCTATCAGAATAGGAAGAACTCTGTTTGCTCTGCGAAGGGAAAAAGAGCAGCCCTGAGCTTTCCATGGTGGGCACCATCTTGAAGAGGGGACACTGTGGTCCCTGAGGCCTCTCCCGGAGCTCCCTCCAGCAACTCAACTCGCCGCTCGATTCGATCTGTACCAATCTCAAGCAACGTTTAAAAGGGCAGTTTATTTCTTCAGTGTTAATAATATACTAGGACTTTAGCATAAAGAGTAGCATAAATAAATAATAGAATCTATTTATGATGGACTGGAGATATTTCTTTGATTCTTAGTTTCAAAGCCTATCCCAAAGTGACCAGACAAGCAACATATTTAACCTAAAGCTGAGGCGGCCCGTTGCTCTCTGCAGTGGACAGGATCTCAGGTGCCCAATGATCGACACGGTTTCCTTGGTAAGAAAACCTGATGGTTGGTGAGAAAGGCGATACATAGATCTCACGGAGTGGAAAGAATTCCAGCAACAAACACCCAAGATCGGTGAGCCATCTTTTATAATACGTGTGCAAGGAATGGGTAAGGAATGCGCTACACATGCCATCTTGCCGGTTCTCTGAGCGACACCTCCGTGCACCAGCCTTCCCGCCCTGCCCTGCCCTCCATCCTGTCTTTTAAAATGTGTCCTACTGCTGGTCTGTGCCCATATTTCTAAACCCAGGGGGGAAGGATTGGTATTTAGCACATTTTCCTTTAGAATTTTTTAAGGTACAGGTAATTTCTCTTACGGTTTAACATGAAGGCAGTCACTAACGTTCGCAGAGCTCATGTATCCTTGCTGTATCACAGTTTTGCTCTTTCGGTCACTGTTACATGTTAGGACCATGCCATGTCAAGAAAGGCAAAGAGACTTTTTCTCTTTTTAAATCTGTCCAATGTTCGTTCCCGATAAACAGCAGAAAAGAGGCTCAACGACCAGTAGAGCACACGCACCGAGCTTCGGTGGCAGCTTCTGGACTCACCATGGGCGACAAGGGCGTGTCCAAGCTGGTTTCAGTCTTACTGTCATCGGCATCGCTGTCCTTGTCACTGCCGCTGTCGTTGACAAAGCATATCTGCAGGTTCATCCCACTCTGCAGGCTGGGCAGAAACAAACGGGGCACTAATTCCACTCAGCTATTTGTTATCTATTCACAACCAATAGAATTGTCTGGTTTTGCTAATAAAAAGTAGTTTTATGTGTTCTTCACATGGAGAAGTGAGTGGCCAACACGATTCTTAACTCATAAATGACAACTTATACTAGAGGATAATCATGGTAACTTAATAACCTTATAACTTGATAAATGATAAATAACTTTTATTATTATATTGGTTTTTTTTCCCCATACTAATTTCATGTTAAGTTAAAAATAATTTAAGGCCACCTATTATAGCACCCGGCACAATATCAAACACATAGTTGGTGCTCAATAAAAATGTGTCGAGTCATAGAGTTTACATTCTTGTCGACGAAGATAAATGGAGTCCTCGGCCAAATATAGTTGCATGGTCTCATCTAGTGTCCTGTCCCACGAGGACAATCCAAGGAAGCTCACTAGAGCCGGCATCCCAGGGCCAAAGAACCTTGAAGACTCCCCCTTTCCCCAAACAGACAGAATATGGCCAGGAGGAAAATTTTACCCAAGGCAATTGCTAAAAGCCAACGGAGGGAGCTCATTTGTGTCATTAAGAAAAAAATGCAGCACAGGTTCACCCTAAAGAAACTTAAGCAAACCTCAAACCCAGTCAGAAAGGCACACTCTTCGAACACAACGAGGTTCTACAGATGCCTCAAGCACACAGAGCCTCCGAGGTGGAGAGTTCTGGGAAGCTCATTATGTTTGCGGCCAATCCTGAAGCTCTGGGCGTGATGTTGCTGGAAATGTGGTCACAGAGGGTCACCTGGCTATATCTGTTATACAGTAGGCCAGATGGTGGGTCTAATTCTTTGTCCTAACCTTTTGAAGTTGAACACATTGTATCACTATTTGGCGATGGAGGGTTTTTAAAGAAGTGATTTTCTTAAGTATCTCTAGCATCCCCAATCTCTGTGTAAGAGGAGAGAGAGCAAAGGCCAGAGGAGGCCCAGAAGCAGCAGGGGTCACAATGAAGCTTGTCTAAGTCAGGTTTAGGACCGCTGACGCTGAGTTGCTCAGGCATTCATGTCGCAGAGAGAACGCAAAGAACTCCTCTGACAGTTGACATCTGTATTTGACTTTTTTTATTCTAATGGGAAAGAATGCTTTGTACAAATTGCTCAGATGACTCATATAAAGCGCTTCTTTGAAAATGATACAGAACCCAGAAAAAGAAAATTTAGTGATTTAACAGGCACCATCATTGTGAATGTACTGACACCTACTGTTCACATCTATAATTACCAAAGGTCCCTGCTTCTCCCCCAAGTAGGGAAAATGCAGCCTTTCCCGCAGTAGGCTCAGTTCTGTTCCCTTCCTGCCCTCCTGTGCAGGCCCAGAGAGCTGGGCCCAGGGCTGGTGCAGAAGGTCTGCTGCAATCAGCTCAGGGTGCTTGGACTCAGGTGGACTCAGGTTCTGAATCCTCACTTTTTTGCCTAGGCCCTCAGTTTCCTCATCTGTAAAACGGGGTGAATAATTCAGTGTTTTGTAGAAAGGATGAAAAGGTTAGCCCAGGGCTTAGCATAGGGCTCTGAATATGTTCATTACCCTCCTTTCTCTACTTTCTGAAAGCCTAGACAAAGGAACACAGAATTTGTGTAAAGGAACCTCCCAAGTCACTTACTTGAATACCTCGCCCGGTCAGAGCAAGTCCCTGACACACACTCAGCTCTCTGAGAAAGCATCCTTGAGCTGCCTTTACTCTGTTAGGCAGCCTGGACTTTTACTGAGTGGAACTGTATCCTTTTAAGTTTCTTCCACTGGAATTGTTTTCCTGGAGAAATCTAATATGTTCAGGTTACTCTCTGATCCCATACGAGTTAAGTTTTAAAATTTATTATCTGTAGCTGGTCAAAAAAGAAGAACTCTGTATCAACCCATTATTAATAATTAACCTCATCTATGGATTAGAAGATGATAAAAAATAAAATTATAAATTAAAAACAGGCATATCTTAAAGGCATATTTTAAATAAAAAGACATATTTTAAATTAAACCCAATTCAAATCTAAGCACTTTCTACTTACTAAATAGCTAAAGTCTTGAAAAGAATTATTTAGCCGCTGGATGCACAGATTATAAAAATATAAAACAACCCATGATACCATTACAAAATGAGGTTTAAAACATCCAAAGATATATCTTCTGAAGGCAGCTTGATTGTAAATTCTGTCGTTCTGCCCCCACACTGACCTTCGTGCTCACGATCAGCTCAGACCTAAATCAATCATCCTATACAGAGTTTCTAACCCAGGAAAGGCAAAGAGAAAGAAAAAGAGAGAGAGGATTTAATAGTCAGAATGAAATGAAAGAACACCTCAGGTAGAAATTCAGAAAATCGCCTTAGTACCACATTATCACCGTGGGAAACCGAACAGAGCTTCTTACAGGGTGAGGCTTGTAATTCCTTATAGCGGTAATCACCAAGAATGTGACTCTCAGGAAAAGGAAATTATATGACATAACAGCTAATGGTTCAGGGGGGATTTTTGTAAAGACATCTTAAAACGGACTCGGGTTTCAAAAAAGATTTGTTTGCCTTTAGCCTTTAAGCGGGTTTTAAGAAGACTGAGGCTTTGGGGAAACTCAACCACAGCTCCCAAGCAGAGACCTGGCTGTGGGGTGAGCAGGGCCACTTGGTGCTGCCGAAGCCCTCTGTGTCACAGGGTCAAGTTAGATAAGGCCTGCTCAGGTTCCCTCCCGCCCTGAGGAGGCGTGGCTGTCCTGAGGCTCGCTCTGGCAACCTGGAGTCTCCACACTGCAGTGCATCTGGCCTCACTCACAACCAGGCTACACAGTCTTGTGAAATCCAGGCTGCTGGAGGTCTAATTTGTCTGCGTCTCTCAAGCAGAGTCTGAGGTGAAAACAAAACGTGATCCCTATCGTGTTAATTAGCGATGTAATTTAAGGTATCCAAGTCAAGGTTACTTGATGTTTCAAGTGGCATTTAGCACAGGTTGCCTGCAAAAGGCTGCTTGACACCTGGGCCCTGCCTGTGGATTTCAGTTCTGACAGGTCTGCGTCCTGGTCCTCTCGAAAAACTCTTTTCCTTGTGTACCATGCAGCAGTGAAAAATCACACTGCTGCCCAGAGCTGCTGAGAGGAAGCCCCAAGGGTCCTGGATGGAGAACGCTCAGAAGGATGAAGAGATAAAGACTGAGTGTCTTCTGGACATCTCAGTGTAAGCGAAAGTGGCCTTCTGAGTGACGGTAGGAAGGCATTTGGTTGAGAGGCTGTTCAGCACCCACATCTGCCTGACATTTACAGCGAGGGAGATTGTTACTCAGAAAACACTTGTGCTGACTTCTAACTACTGTTACCAGAGATATTACTAAAATATGCACAAAACTGAGAGGCTGGCAGAGATGAAAAGTTTTTAACTACTAAGAGGATATCTCAAAAACAGTAATATGATTCAGGATAAAGATAACACTTTTTCAAAATACGAAGACAAGACCAGTTTATCTCCTGAGGCAAACAATGCGATGGTCTTAAAGTTTGCTGTGACTTCTAACAGAGCAGTAGTAACCATCCTGAATCGGGCCTTGGGTGTGGTGCCCGGGACTGGGCTGGTCTGAGGCCAGCTCTGGACCACAGAACCATTTAGGGTTTTCTGATTTTAGAAATAGGAATCTCCCAGTAACAGCCTAGATGCCCAGCATCTTTATATAAATGTTTAAAATTCTTTGGTTTTCCCTCCTGTACTTCACTTGAGATGGTGCATTGACTTTGCGTTTGAAAGTACGTTACTTAACATTTTCTCCTTGGGCTGAATAACCACCTATGAATTACAGGCAAGGTAACGGTTACCCAGGGAAGCCAAATGACTTACCCCAGACCTGTGACAGCCCCATTATAAAAATGGTCCCAATTCTTCTCCTCCTGGTATCTGGCTTCTCTGTAACAGGACTTTGCAGCTTTTCCATCATGAGGTGGGGCCTACTTCCCTATCCCTGGGCTGGCCTCCTGACTTGTCTTGGCCAACGGAATGCAGAGGAAGTGGCTTGGTTTCAGTTCCAAGTCTCCCCCTCAGGGAACCCTGCCACTGCCTTCAGAACAAGTCCAGGTTAGCTTGCTGGCAGATGAGTGACTTTGTAGCACAGAGCTCGATCAGCAGTTCTCCCAACTAAAGCTGGGGACACATGACAGAGCTCAGCCAAGAGCAGCAGAGGTCCCTCATTAACCTGTAGCTGACCTCAGACCTACGCGTACGCCCACGCAAGCCCAGCTCTGGTCAGCAGAACTGCTCGGCCAACTTAAACAGGGTCCTAAGCAGAAATAAGTGCTGATCATTGTATACCACTGATGTAGGTGGTTTTTTATGACACCATATCATTGTGGCAACGAGGCCACACAGCAGGAGACTACAGGGGGCCTCTGGTTTTGGAATCTAGTGGCCCTTCCCCTACACTACACTTAACTTTAGGACTAGATTTATTAAATCCTGCCTGTGGTGACAAAATAATTTTAAAGGACAGATACTTCATGTAGTTGCTTATAATTTCAAGGTAATTGTATGGTTTCCTTAAGAAACAGAGTGAGAAGGAGTTTCCCATATCCCTGTGGATTTCAAACATGTCTTGCTCATTATCTGTTCACAATCAGTGTGACTACGAGAACCACAGGCCCTGCTGTGTCATTCATTACTCAATATCCCTAACTAGTTTGTGGATGAGTTGTAAAATATATTATTTCCATTTAATTTAATGGATCTTTGATGCATTATTCAAAGATTTTATATATAATGAATAATCACCTTTTTTTTTTTTAAACCATATCCTTTTTTGTTTCATGAAAATTTCAAAAGGGAAGGAATATAAAATGTGGGTTGTAATTACCAAGGGTAGCTGTAAATACATTTTCTTTTTCTAAGACTTTGTTGTGAAGAAAGAATGTGAGAAAAACTGAGGTTTGAATAAGTTCTAGATGTACCACATGTGTGGTACCACGTGTGATGGTGTC